ATTTACTTTCATGTGTAGATCTTATTGATTTATTTTAACATAGGCACAAATATATTTGAAATATATATTCTTCTGTCATTTATTTCATAGTTTCCAGTTCTCTCTATATCTTTGTTTTTAGAAATACATAGTATTAGACTGAACTTTCAAAGGAAAAATTCCAATAACAATTAAATTCACCTTCAGATGATTTTTTTTCTCAGTTTTCTTTCGATTTCTTTCAGATTCGTGAACATTCATATCGGAAATACTTTTCTGAACGATATTTCTTTTTTTCCCTGCCATTAGAATATATTTTTTCCAAAGATTAACATTGACATAGATGTTTCGATAGGTGTTTTCGTGAAATCTGTCATCAAAGTAAGAATAAAGTAGCTGTAAATCAACTTTAATTTAAAAAAAAGTGAATGAAAATTACAGCTTGAAATCAACAGAAAGGCGACAAAAAAAACAAAAACTAAAAAGAATACAAAAAATGACTTAATATTGTCAATTAAAAATTGACTATAATCATGACACTCTTCTGTGTCATGCATCATCACCATGCTACCATCACCAACACCACCAGGAATCGGTGAAATATTCACCGGAACTATTGATACTACTTGTATCACCATCAGACTAAAAAAAAAAGAATTATTTATTTCTACTATAAATGTGTTGTATTATTTACCTTGCCGAGGTGATACAAAACGACAACGAAATGCCTCTCACTGGCACGACGATTCGTTTTTGATAAAGTTGTTGTTGTCGACTATTTTTGATGAATGTTTCATTTTATGGAAGACGAGCCGAATGATGAACAGGTTGGAAATGAGAAAAATATTTGTAGAACACTTCTATTGATAGTGGTAGGGGAGGAGCGAGAAGAGAGGGAAAAAAGGCCGTCACCCATGTAACAAATCATAAAATATGATCATTAGACGTTGCTCTCGTATAGAAATAATATACTCATTAAAGATGGAATTGGAATAATAATTAGTAAAAAAATTATATATATATGAAATCACAGAATGTTCGAAAAAACATTCGCTTTATTTCTTTCAACTATCAAAAAAAGTTTCACATAAAGAAAAAAAAAAGAAAAACTTAAACAAAAAAAGAAAAATATCTATGGAAGATGTTCAAAATTGTTTGTTTCCCACATTCCCATATCGAACAAAATATTTCTAAGTGATGGTGGTGGTGGTGGTGTTGGAAGTTCAATTAGTGGTGGATTGAGTGGTATGTGTGTATCTGTTGTTGTTAATGAATGAAGTGGAGATGACGGTGATGATGGTGAGGAGACGGTTGCTGTTGGTGAATTAAACACTGACGGGTCCAACACGATTTTTGTATCGATTGAACTAAAACATTCACACATTATAGAAAAAGTATTTCGTGACATATATAAATAAGTATTGTTATTTTTTCTTTAGAATCAGACTAAAAAGAATACTTACCCTTTGGATGTGATTGAAACTTGAATTTTCGATGTAGCCATATCCTTGGAAATTTCAATTATTTGTGGGACTTTTCGTGCACGTCGATGATAATGACGAGAACATCGTTGATGATGATGTTGTTGTTGGTGTCGTGTAGAATGGTGATGACCTAAATATATATTTAAATATATAAAACAAGTTGTAGATATTTTTTTTTACCTGGCATATCGAACAAATGAATGAAGATGATGGATATGAACTGGAAGTTTATGTGAGAGGTGGGGACAGTGCCTGTGAATGTAATCAGTGATAATGAATATTAGAAAATGACTACGATTGAATTAATGCAACTCTATTTATAGCAGAGAAATATTCTCGTTATTAGTTTAGCAGGACATTCGACATGATTTATTCTTTCTTTCATTTCTTACGTACGACATATTAGATTGTTCCAGAAGATTCTATTTTTTCGTAGACATATATGATGTTGTTTTGAACTTTAAACTATGAACACGAAACCCTGGATATATATGTATGCACTATTATCACTTGTAAAATATACAGACGAATTTTGAATAAAAAAAAATTGAATCACTTACATTAGATGACAAATATTTTTGCCAATAAAAATAGAAACACATAAATAAAAAAGCTTTCAAAAAGAAATATTTTATTCAATAAGCTTTGTAATTGTTCATAGAATTTTGCTTTGAAAAGTACTTGAATAAAAAAAAATATTCGATATTGTTTTGCGAAATAACTCAACTATTGATGTATTACCTAAGGATTTTGCTGAATGAAATTAACTGTATTGTATTTTTAGGAAGTTGGATCGATTGAGGAATTTTTTTTTCTATTATTTAAATTTACTTACAAAAAAAAAGATAATATGAATTGAACTTTTCTATTATGTATAGAATCTTCTAGAATATTCTTAGATACAACTAATTTATTGACCTTTAACCGGAGACAGACATTTTCTCTGAAGGATTAACTATTTTCCTTTAGCACGCATGCTTATCCAGGCAATTTATTGAAACGAAAATTAAAATATATAAATTGTTTTCTTTAGATTTGTCCTCGCCTATAAATACCATGGAATATTCAGTTTCACTTCAGTTCATTTATATTATCTTTTTTTTTTGTAAGTAAATTTAAATAATAGAAAAAAAAATTTCTCAATCGATCCAACTTCCTAAAAATACAATATAGTTAATTTCATTAAGCAAAATCCTTAGATAATACATCAATAGTTGAGTTATTTCGCAAAACAATATCGAATATTTTTTTTATTCAAGTACTTTTCAGAGCAAAATTCCATCAACAATTACAAAGCTTATTGAATAAAATATTTCTTTTTGAAAGCTTTTTTTTTATGTGTTTCTATTTT